TGTTCGTTCAGTGGTTGTGGAACGAATGCTTTTAGGATCGGTCGTCACTCACCGCGAAATCTAGCGCATGCGCGTATATCGAATTCCTAGCAGGGATTTTCTCCTGGTCTGTGGACTGTACTAGTTTTGCAAAATAAACAAGTGATTTACAAGAAGCGAAAGTTATCATCTTCGGAGCTGGCTTCCTAGTTGCCACTCTATCTGTCTACCCCCGCCAAGGTCACGAGAGCAGTCTTTCTACAGGCTGTTAAGTAACATCGGCAGAGCGTACCGTTATTATTAATGACCTACGTAGTCTCACGTTCCGTGAATTAAAATTGTTAAACCAGCTTCTGCTGGTGTTGGCCGTCGCTGATGTGTCACCGCACGTAATTGGTCCATTGATCGGAGCAGAGTCGTACAGAAATAATCTTCCTTCCCGTTAGTCCTTCATTTAACAATGAAGATTACCGGCCTGTACAGCAGATATTAAAACAAAAATCACACTGTTAAGTTTTGGACTTACCTGACACCGGCGATATTTAATGAAACGAGGCGGAAAAATTATTGTTGCGATGGGGAGATGTTATGTCTCTTTTCTGGAAATGGGCCTCTGATGGGCCCTCTGTCCAACCCCCGGATGATACAGCGGTGGAATGATACTGTCAAGGGACAACTGAATGAATCGGAGAAATCCGTCCCTGTGTCACTTTGTCTCAAGTTGTGCCACAAGTTACCGTATCGACATTCATTGGAGAGACTAAGGAAAAACCACGGGAATGCCTTATTCATGATAGCCAGTAAACCGGTTGAAGTTCGAACCTAATACAATTTAAAGCGTTACCATTGACGCCAACTTTGGTCTGTAGACAGTAAATAATGGCTGGCTACAATAGAATATAGAAGCTTACAAAATCTGAGACTCACATTGGACTACAAAATGATCTTATTTAAAAATGAAGTTTTGTAAAATTTGTAGAAGTAGCAGACGCTTTTTGACGGCTATAATTAAAACTACATAATTCACGATGACGAGTGCTGTAAACTTATTAATATGCCTGTTACAACTATCCATGTTATGGAGTAATTTAAGATATTACAATATTCGGAAGATATCTAAATTCTTTGTCCAAATACAAAACTGTTGTTGCTTGATTCATATCTCTAGCTGTTTGATTTATTGACGCTTGTTCAACTGCTTTCATTTCTTAGGAATTTTGACAGTGGAATGTTTATAGGACTGCAGTTTGATTAAGAAATCTAAATTCAAATTACTTCCACGTTATTCCGTGTAAAGATGTGAGATTTAGAAACACACTGTAAATATTTTTAGACGTAAGCAGTATATAGAAACTTCGCGAGATGAATTACTGCAAGTCCCAGTGATTGACGAAAAATCTATTGCGTCACACGAGAAGTTATAATTTTGTCACTGGTTAAAATTAAGATCTTAGAATGAAATGCGAATACCCAGCGGAAAATACATTTTATTTGGTAGTGTTTATGTAAACTCTAATCATTGTTTGTCAGAACCAGAACTGGAATTGGAGAAGACTTCACCATACAGCGCTGCAAAATATTTTCAATTAGTTGATTACATACTACATTATCCTCACCGAACTGTGTGATGTGGTGGTTAATTCTTCGTAACAAAACAGGCTCTATCACGTCACAAACCTCTGTTTACTGAGCAACATGGTCGAATTCTTTGAGAAAACAGAACAGACACAAACGCTGTTTCATGTTCTCACTGAAATGGATTATCTTATTTTTGGTTTACGTGATTATCACTCCAGGCAAGAGGTGGGGTAGTTCTTTTAGAGTATGGCTGCTTCTACGTTCTTACCAACTCATACATATAATCGTCCTGTCACTCGACAGTAGCCTTCATATATCCTGCGTAGTCAAGAAACTGCCACTGAATAAGCCAAGATATAAAACAAATTGTTTAAGAACTCTCCATACACGTGAGATTTTAGTTTCTTCAAGGCGGTGGGTCTGGAGATGGCTGTCTCTTTTTAGCCTGATAGACATTTACCAATGTTTCGGAGGTCCTTGTTGCCTCCATCATCAGGGTTAAGAGTAAGTAGCATACTCATCGCCCTTCTGATGGTGGTAGGAAGCATCTTTAAAACGTCGGTAAACTTGTATCAGACTACATGGCGTTACTACACTAGAGACACTTGATAAACATTTTTGTACAAATCTGTTGAAATAAGGACTCATAATATGGAATCATAAAAAAGACGGAATTCTAAAGTCATGTGTCCAATGTTCGTACGAAAAGTGTGTGTGATGTGCTTACGGTCCTACCCCATTCTCCTCTCTCGTCATCTTGGTTTAGTTTCTTTCTAGCTTTCGCTTGTCTGTCTTCTGTTACTTGTTTGAATATCACAAGGCCGAGCTGCGATCATGGGAATAAAATAAACTTGTCCGCTTTTGAGCGTGCTGCAAACAGTTTGTTCACGATTTGAATAGCTGAGAAATTCGCGATAAAAAGATAACATTATATATCTGTTGAATAAATGTAAACTACATCAAATAGGGCAACGTTTAATACACAAAGCCTGCCACGGTTTAACAGTTTCTTTTATTTAGACTACCACCGACTTGGTTCGGTATCTTTTTCATTTGATCTGTTACATATTTGGTAGGATTGCTCAGATTTGGGATCGGCCCACCCCAAAGATTCTTCTATACAGGTACTCGTGGGGAAAAATTGTTTAAGAATAGTTAAATGAAAATGGGGGAAAATGCTAGGACAGAAACACATACAAACGTATTTATTTAGTTTCCCATCAAACAAGTAGGTATACCTCGTTTTATTGCGCTTCGTAGATATTGCGCTCTTTTACAAATTTAAGGTTTGTGGCAACCCTGCGTCGAGCAAGTCTATCGGCGCCATTTTTCCAACAGCATGTGCTCACTTCGTGTCTCTGTGTCACATTTTGGTAATTCTATTGCACACTTAATAGACTACAGTATAGTGTAAACATAACTTTTATATGCACTGGGAAACCAAAAAATTCGTGTGACTCGCTTTATTGCGACGGTCTGGAACCGAACCCGCAACATATCCGAGGTATGCCTGTAAAGACACTGTTACACTGTGTTAACTCCACTGTTTCTCCTTATTTCGTAGAAACTTTGCATGAATCTTGACAAGAAGTTTACTCCAAAAGTGAGGTATAAACAGGCA